GAAAGCACCCACCAGAGGGGATAGCCACATCACAATCCCTTCTCCATTCTCCTCTCAGGATTTTGGGAACACAAACACACACACACACACATATACACACACACACGTCTGACATGAGCTTTAAGCTGCCTGGTCCAGGATTCGAACTGTGGTCAACTACGTGGGTATCCAACAACATAACCATTACACCATCTGCTGGTCCCTAAAGCAACTTATTTTTAAAGAATTATTGGAGGCCTGGGATCAGTGGTGTACTAGTTAAGGACGCTGGATTCCCACATGGCCAACCATGGTCTGAGTCCTGGACCTGGTGACTTGCTTTCTCACTTTCTCTCTCTTTTCCTCTGTCCCTCTCTGGTCAAATTAAAACAAATAAATAAAATAATTCTTAAAAAAAGAATTATTGGAGACCTGTCAATAGCCATGGGAGTGAGCTTTTAAGTAGATCCCTCCTCCATTGAGCCTGGAGATAACCGCTGCCTCAGCTGACACTGGACTGTAACCTTGTAAGAGACCTTGAACCATAAACATCCAGCTGAGCTACACTGAGATGTCCTACTCACAGAAACTGTGAAGTAAAAAAGGCTTGTGGTTTCTTTTTTTAATTTTTAAAAAATAGTTATTTTATCTTTTATCTTTCTTTTTTGAGAGATTTTTGCTATAGGGCATGCTCACCAGAGACATAGAAACAGGAAGACAGAAAGCAAGAAATCAACCCACACAGGTGATGACCATGCCACATCCTTTCTCCTCCATTCTCCTCTTGGGATTTGGAGCATACATGCACACATGTCCAACACGAGTTTTAAGTCACCTTGTCTGAATCACTGTCAACTTCGTGGGAGTCCAGCAACATAACCGTTACGCCATCTGTTAGTCCCAAGAATTATTAATTCATATCACTCATTATTATTATTATTATTATTAATTTGACCGGAGAGAGAGAGGGAAAGTGAGAAATCAAACTGAAAGGTCCAGAGCTCAACCCACCGTCAGGTCCATGTGGGAGTCCATCACCTTGCCTACCATGCCACCTGCTGGCCCCACAAATGTTTGTTGTTTTAAGCTGTTAGTTTTGTTGCACTTGTTACAGAACAATAACTAATACAGTGTAATTCCCTTTATGTATAATATTCAGAAGTCTCCAATGCAAAGCACTAAGGCCATTTGTATTCCATGTGTTTGAAGGTAACATTCCTCCTTTCTTTTACTTTTTTGGGGGAGAGGTTTTTTGCTATAGGGCGCATGCGCTCGCCAGACAGACAGAGACATAGTGACAGAAAGCGAGAAATCACCCCCCAGGGGGGATGGTCATGCCGCAATCCCTTCCCCTCCATTCTCCTCTCGGGATCTTGGGCATGCACGCACATGTGCCCGGCATGAGTTTTTAAGCCACCGGGTCTGGGACGCGAACCGCGGTCAACTACGTGGGAGTCCAGCGACATAGCCGTTATGCTAACTGCTGGTTCCCAACATTCCTCCTTTTGGTTAATAAGTTCTCAGTGTGTGTGTGTGTGTGTGTTTTATTTTAATTTTAAAAATTTATTTATTTATTTAGAGATATTTATTTCAACTTCGTTTATTCATTCATTTATTTTAATTTGGCAAGAGAGCGAGCAAGCGAGAGAAAGTGAGAAAGCAAGCCACCAGGACCAGGACTTTAACTGCGGTTGGCCACATGGGACTGTCCAGCACCTTAACCACCACATCACCTCACCTGCTGGTCCCTCAGTGTGTATTTTGTTTTGTTTTGTTTTGTTTTGTTTTGTTTGAAGTTTTTGCTATAGGGCACATGCGCTCGCCAGAAAGACAGAGAGACACAGAGAGACAGAAAGCGAGAAATCACCCCTCAGGGGGGATGGCCATGCTGCAATCCCTTCTCCTCCATTCTCCTCCAGGGATCTTGGGCATGCACACATACGTGCCCAGCGTGAGTTTAAGCCACCGGGTCCAGGACTCAAACCGCAGTCGACTACATGGGAGTCCAGCGACATAGCCATTAAGCCAACTGCTGGTCCCACCTCAGTGTGATTTTTACAACAGATTCTACAACAAATTTTCTTAGCCCAAGGCCATCTCAAAAATTTTATTTCAGAGTATAAAAAGAAACCATATGTTGATGAATGCCAAACCCATACCCCCAGCCCAGGTTCATTTCCTTCTAGACACGTACACTTGGATTGTACATGGCATCTCATTCTCAACATCCCCAATAGCTCTCATCAATTACTGCCCCATCTAACCCTCATCCTTGACTTCTTTTTTTTTTTTTTTGGAGAGATTTTCACCGTAGGGCGCGTGCGCTCGCCAGACAGACAGAGAGAGACATAGAGACAGAAAGCGAGAAATCACCCCCCAGGGGGGATGGTCACACCGCAATCCCTTCTCTTCCATTCTCCTCTCGGGATCTTGGGCACGCACGCACACGCGCCCGGCGTGAGTTTTAAGCCACCGGGTCCGGGACACGAACCGCGGTCGACTACGTGGGAGTCCAGCGACATAGCCATTACGCTAACTGCTGGTTCCCATCCTTGACTTCTTTTCACTCACCAACTCACACTCTCTCTACCCAACCACTAAATTCTGCTGATAATAGCTCCTAAGTATTTGGTCATCGGGAAAGTCAATGATGTATTTTTCTGTTTTTCTGTGCAGAAATGCATCATGACTTTTCCAATGACTCAATATTTCTTAAAAACATCCTCTTATATCTAGCCCGAATATCACTAGTCTATACTTTAAGTGCTCATTATCTCTGCTGGGTCTTCTACTCCTTTCTTCTCCCAATGTCCAGTACACACTCACGCACACACACACACACACACACACACACACACACTTTAACCAGTACTATCTGATTAAAAAAAAAGGTTGACTATCTACCTCAAAACAAAAGCCAGGCTCCACAGGGTAGCATACAAACTTTTCCAAGATCTGGTTCCTGTCCACTCCTTTACTTATTTTACTCTAATGCTTAGAATTCCCATAACTACCAGTTGTTTCTTTCTTCCTATATGTTTTTTTTTTTTTTGAGAGAGAGATATTTTTGCAGTAAGAACACATGTGCTTGCCAGAGAGATAGAAAGAGAGAAATCACCCCCCGGGGGGGATGGCCGCACCACAATCCCTTCTCTTCCACTCTCCTCTTGGGATTTTGGGCATGCATGCACATGCGCCCAGTCTAAGTTTTAAGTCATTGGGGTCCAGGACTCAAACTGCAGTCAACCACGTAGGAGTCCAGCTACGTAACCATTACACCATCTGCTGGTCCCTACCAGTTGTTTCTTACATACGTGCCTGGTATCATACTGTGTCCTCAGCCTAAAATGCCCTTCCCCTGAGACCAGCAGATGGCGTAATGGTTACATCACTAGACGACCACATAGTTGACTATAGTTCAAGTCCTGGACCTGGCGGCTTAAAACTCATGCCAGGCATGTGCGCGTGCATGCCCAAAATCCCAAGAGGAGAATGAAGGAGAAGAGATTGCAGCATAGCCATCCCTCCTGGGGGTGGGAGTGGGGGTGAGTTTTTGCTTTCTGTCTGTTTCTCTGGCAAGTGCACATGTGCTATAGTGAAAATCTCTCCAAAAAAAAAAAAAAAGCTTTTTCTGAAGTCCCAGTCTATGTAATCTCTCCATTCCATGCTCTCTGAACACTCAGTGTTTTATTATATGCTACAGAATATAATTTACTCATTTAATAAGATGTATGTATATGTTGAAAGTGAGATTCACTTTATGTACTTGAATTTGGGGGGGGGAGATTTTTACGATAGAGTGTGCATGCTGCCTGAGAGACAGAGAGACAGAAAGTGAGAAATCACCCCCTAGGAGGAATGGCCATGCCAGAATCCTGTCTCCATTCTCCTCTTGGGATTTTGGGCACATATGCACTCACACACAGCATGAGTTTTAAGTCACAGGTCTAGACTTGAACCACAGTCAACCACATGGGAGTCCAGCACCTTAACTACACCACCTGCTGGTCCCGCACTTATATTTTTTGTGGACTGAAACACATGTACTGACCTAGTCAGAATTTAGTAATACTCTCAAATTAATTGCCATTTTGTTAATAACAACTGCATCTGTAATCATAAGATTATATGTTTATTTTGCCTATAGATAATACTTGGATTCATGTAAATTTACTGGAATAATTTCCTGGTGCTTAATATAGTACTTAGGACACTGTACGTACTTAAAGAAATTATTAAACTCACTTTTTAAAAAAAAAAAATCACTGGACACTCATTTCATGAGGTTTCTCCTCCACTCCCCCAATATCATGTCCCTACTCCAAACAAGTCATTAAAAAATAATTAATGTATTAATTTCACTTAGAGAATTAGGTAAACCTCAGATAATAGACCCAAGGCCAAATCATTTTGCAGAATTAGAATGTGTTCAAGAAATCAGTTATAGGGATGGGCAGGTGGCATGGTAGTTAAGGTGTTGGATACTCCCACATGATCGACCATGGTTTGAGTCCCAGACCTGGTGGCTTGCTGTCTCGCTTTCTCTCTCTCTCTTTCTCTCTCTCTCTCTCTCTGTGTATCTCTTTCTAGTCAAATTAAAATAAATAAGTAAAATTTAATTTAAAAATTCTTTAAAAAAGGTACAATTGAATTGGATTAGACTTCAACACAGAGATGACTTTGTTTCTCCAAACAGCTTTCATTTAGAAAGAGGCCATTCCTCCAACATGTGAAGAAGCATAAATACACTTTCTTCTCAGTCACCGAGGAAGAAATGTCCCTTCTTGATGGGCTGACACTATTTCTTTTTTGTAGGTCTTTTCCCTTCTCCTTTCTGTGGTTTCCCTTTTACACGAAGCTTCTTTAACTCATTTGCTCATTCTTAAAATCTTTTTAAAAAATATTTATTTATTTTATTCATTCATTTATTTATTTTAATTTGATCAGAGAGAGAGAGAGAGGGAAAGTGAGAAAGCAAGCCACCAGGTCCAGGACTCAAATCATGGTTGGCCATGTGGGAGTGCCTTAACCACACCACCTGCTGGCCCCACATTCTTAAAATCTTGATGCTCATCTGTAGAGGCCAAGGAAATGAAGTGTCCCCACGAGTCCAAAATAGGTATTGTGATTTGGATACCAATCATAAGTCTCCTTGCTCTTGGCCAAGGGCTGTTTGCTGAAGTTTCATCACTTTCATGGACTTAGAATCAGTAGGCCTGGTGACTTTCCCAGACAGCTGGGCACTCAGATGACTCACGTGCAAGGCATATTCCAAAAGTGAAGACATTTCTTAAGCAGCAAAGTGCAAGAGTTCTCTGGCCCTGACCTTCCTCGCCGATGCATCCTCTTAAATTCACTGTTTTAATGTTAATAGAAATGAACCAAATGTATTAATAATGCCATAATAAACATACATGAGGCAGAATGGAATAAAATCATTTTTATTTCAACTACTAACCGCTATTTTACATAATAATCTAATGACCCATTTTAGCTATAAATAAAGGTTCAGAAAAGTTCATTGCTGGGGCCGGCAGGTGGCATGGTGGTTAAGGATGCTGGACTCCCACAGCGCTGCCTGCAGTTCGAGTCCTGAACCTGGGGGCTTGCTTTCTCTCTTTCTCACTGTGCCCCTCTCTAGTCAAATTAAAATACAATTTTAAAAAGAAAGGAAAGTTAATTGTTTCAGAATCAATTAACTGATAGCTGGTAGGTAAATGTCAGAACTAGAGTTGGACCCTGAGCCTGTCTAACTCCCTGATTACGAAGGCAATTCTAAGCTTTTTCATTGATTTTTTTTGGGTTAAATTTCAGACCATCTCTATCTCCTAATTACTCAATTTCTTGGAACATAAAATAATTACTTTGCAGGGCCAGCAGGTGGCATGGTGGTTAAAGGCAACCTATTCCCATGAGTCCCAGACCTGGCGGCTTGCTTTCTTGCTTTCCCTTTCTTTCTCTCTGTCTCTCTGTCTCTCTCTCTGGTCAAATTAAAAAATAATAACAAATGGAATTAAATAAATAATGCTTAAAAAAATTACTTCACTAGGCCATGGTGAAATTAAGTAAAGTGCTCCAGTGCAGCAATCATGACTATTTGCACACTGATAGTGTAGAAGGCCGCATATTAGATCTTGCATATGAACAACTGTCTGTCCATTTTGTTCTCTTACCCTAACATGGCTGTCTGCTTCTGTAAACCTGCTTGCTCTTCCCATGAGAAAATAGCTTGTGCTAGCCATACAGAAAACCATATCCAGGATGACATCCTGTACCTGCTACTGTCTTTGCTAACTAGCCCCCTTTTGTTTAGCAATGTAACTGCTTACATGGAATCCCCACTCCCCTCAGAAATAATTAACCTGCTTGATTCAGCTTCTGTAACTGCTTGCATAAAAACTCCTGGTAACTGACCCCCTATAAAAAGACTACTCAAACTTCAGTCAGGGCTGCAGTTTTGACTCTCAGCCCCCCTAAACCCCCAATCTCAGACTGTAGTCTCTGGCCAGCTAATAAAGACTCCCTTTAAACTTAATCTGGCTTTGATGGTCGTTCATTCGGTGGCACTCTACAAGAGGCACAGGTTAAAAATACTGTCATGCACCCTATAATAATGTGTCAGTCAACAACTGGCTACTTATACAACAGTAGCCCCATAAGATTATAATGAAACTGAAAAATTCCTATCATCCCAGATGAGATGTCACACCTGTTATCATTGCAGCCCAAGGCATCACTCATATGCTTGTGGTGATGTCGGTGTAAACAAACCGACCTGCTGCTATTCCTGTGAAAGCATACTGCATACATTATATGCAGTGCACGACTGTGTTACTGGTTTATGTATTGGGCTGGTCTTTTTTTTTTTTTTTTTGGAAAGACAGAGGAGGCCAGAAGACACAGAGAGAGAAAGCAAGAAATCACCCCCCTCTGGGGATGGCCATGCCGCAATCCCTTCTCCTCTCAGAATCTTGGGCACGCATGCACACATGCCTGGCATAAGTTTAAGATGCAAGGCCCAGGACTTGAGTGGACAGCTACATGAGAGTCCAGTGATATAGCCATTATGTCAACTGCTGGTCCCATACTGTGCCAGTCTTATAATGGCATCATTTTCTCTTGTGCTTGATTTATTTTGTTTTGTTTGAGAGTTTTTTTTGTTTGTTTGTTTTGCTATAGGGCACGTGCGCTCACCAGAAAGACAGGGACAGAGAGACAGAAAGCGTGAAATCACCCCCCAGGGGGATGGCCACACTGCAATCCCTTCTCCTCCATTCTCCTCTCGGGATCTTGGGCATGCACACACATGTGCCCAGTGTGAGTTTAGGCCACCAGGTCTGGGACTCGAACTGTGGTCGACTACATGGGAGTCCAGCAGCATAGCCATTATGCCAACTGATGGTCCCTCTTATGCTTGGTTTAATCTCATGTTGTTTTGTTCATCATGTCCCAGTGGGACAAGATGTGGAAGAGAGTAATATTAATGATCCTGACTCTGTGTAATACTACAATGTGTGTGTTTGTGTTTGTCTCTTCATTTTCAACAAAACAGTTTAAAAAGTAAAAATAATAATCTTAAAATTGGAAAAATTTTAAAAAGATATAAAGAAAATATTTTTGTGCAGCTGTGCAATTTCTTTTTTTTTCTTTTTTTTTTGAGAGGTTTTTGCTATAGGGCGCGTGCACTCGCCAGACAGACAGAGAGAGACATAGAGACAGAAAGCGAGAAATCACCTCCCAGAGGGGATGGTCACGCCGCAATCCCTTCTCCTCCATTCTCCTCTTGGGATCTTGGGCACACACGCACACGCACCCGGCGTGAGTTTTAAGCCACCGGGTCCGGGACGCGAACCACGGTCGACTACGTGGGAGTCCACCGACATAGCCATTACGCTAACTGCTGGTTCCCAAGCTGTGCAATTTCTTTGTGTTTCAAACTGAGTGTTACTACAAAAGAGTCTAAATTTTTTTTTTTTTAATTTAAGTTTATAGGGGCCAGCAGGTGGCATGGTGGTTAAGGACACTGGATTCCCACATGGCCAACCACAGTTAGAATCCTGGACCTGGTGGCTTGCTTTCTCACTTTCTTTCTCTCTCTCATTCTGTATCTCTGGTCAAGTTATAAAAAAGTTAAATAAAATACATTTTTAAAATTTAAGTTTATAAAATAAAACAGCTAGGGCTAGAAGGTGACGTGGTAGTTGAAGTGTTGGACTCCCACATAGCCAACTGTGGTTCGAGTCCAAATCTGGTGGCTTGCTTTCTCATTTTCCCTCCCTCTTTCTCTCTCTCAGGTGAGCGCACACACCCTGTAGTAAATTTAAACATAATAATAATAATAAATATAATTTTTTTAAAAAGTGAAGGTTTATTATTAAGGGATTGTCTTATAAAATTGGTGTAGCTGAAATGTACAATTTTAATAAAGTCTACAGTACAGTAATGTTCTAGGCCTTCACATTCACTCACTGAGTCACCCAGAGCAACCAGTCCTGCAAATGTCCTATATAGCTGCACCATTTTGTTTCTTTTTTTAAAAGAATTATTTTATTGAACTTTTTTCATTTATTTATTTATTCATTTATTTTAATTTGGGAGAGGGAAAGAATGAGAGAGAGGAAGAGACAGGGAGAAAGTGACAAGGCAAGCCACCAGGCCTGGGACTTGAACCCCAGTCAGCCATGTGGGAATCCAGCGCCTCTAACTACCACGCCACC